TTGATTTGCTGTTGCTAGACTGTTTCGTTTTCTCAAAAGAAACAGTCCGAACCTTTCGTTGTCGCACCGGAGGTTGCAATTTTTTCTTTTTGACTCAGTTCCATCGTGCAATCGGAGTCTTGGATGGTTGCGTGTCTCTTTGCGCAGAAGTGCATTCCACTGTCACAAAGCTTGTCTTCGGAGGTCTTGCGCTTCAGCACGGTGGCAACAACATCGCCGCTCGTAATAGAAGCTGGAAAGGCATGCCAGTCAACCAAAACCTTTTGTTGCTGAGCAAATTCCGCATTTCCGCGCAACACAGACCCGTGCCGCCCCGCACAGCACAGGCCGTGGTGGTTTTTAAAGTCAGAAAACTTGCGGACGAGGATTCTGCTTTCCACGCTGTTCGTGAAAGTGCCAATTGATCTACGTGTTTTCAGTCTGCCTCCTGCTGTTGAAGTGCTTCTGTTCAGGTTAGTGACTGCACTCTTTCGGCTCAAGAAAAAGATCAAGTGCTGCACACTCTGTTTTTTACATGGTCGCAACTCCTGAGAAGCTGTGAAGCGCCACAGCCTTACCTGTACAAAGTTGGAGTTGAGAGTTCTTCCAGACCGCACCTGTGCCTGAGAAAGACCAGCTTTGACTTGTTTGGACCAGATCCTGTTTGTTCTCTAAGCCCGCCTGCAGTTCAAGGCTGGAAGTGTTCTCGCTGCTGTGTCTCGCCTGTTCGGCCACCAGTGCCGCGGACGTCCACTTTGGGTGCGGACCAACTGCAACACACGCGGCTCCAAATGTGGAGTCGGACAATCCAAGCAATTTTGGCTTCGCTTAAGTGGCCCCCCTCTGTTCTCTCATGTTTGTCACTTCCACAGGCAAGCTGTCTGTTGGAAATTCTGGTTCTTGGAGAATGATTTTTCCACACTGGATGTCTGCCTGTGGGCGGGTGGTCTTGATGTAGCAGTCTGGAACGCACGGACTTGGGCTTGGACCCCAGAATGAGGAATTCGCGACCCCAAAATTGGGGCCGCCAAGCGGCCCCGATTTTGGGGTCCTCTAGTTGCCAGTCAAAACATGTTAAAGGAGGTTGGCTGCATGTCGCGGCTCCTTTTCTGGGGCCGCGAGACGGCCCCATTTTTGGGGTCGCAAGTTTGTTCCTGCACCCACAGCAGCTGAATCTCGTCAGCTGCGCATGTCATTGATTGTAATGACTTTGGGGAGCGTCTGGTGGAGGACCGTTTGGAAGCTCGGAACTTGTCCAAAGCAGCTGTGTGCTCGCCCTTAATAGTGCTGCAGCCAGCGGAATGCAACTGTCTGTACACACATCGCGGGATGTCACAATGATAGCGCTGATTTCTTGAGCAGATGGAAAGGCGACTTGCAGGAACTTCCTTCCCGGTTCCAGATCATCGGGTTCGATGCCCACTCACAGTCTTGTGGGAGGGCGAGCGAGATGTTCGGGTTTTCCCGCCAGATGCTAAGCTGCTATGGCAGCCGCCTGTATCGTCCTTCAATGAACAAAGCGTGTAAGCACACGGCATCGAGCAGGTTCAACATCTGCGCGGTCGGCCTGGCCTTCCCCCGTGGGCTCTTGGGGTTCCTGCAACACCGGTGTTGTTGTGCATCATCGTCGGGGTTCGACACTCACGGCGCGCGGTCGGCTTGCCTTCCCCCGTGAGCACATGCGTTCCCCTGAGGGCGGTGTTGAGAGATGCAGGGCATGAGTCAGTGAGTGCGGCAGGCATGAGTTGCAGGCAACTAGGTGCACTGGTAGCATACGCAGGGCGTCATTGCTCGTTGAGAATTGTGTGCTTACTAAAGTATCATAGTGGTGTGTTCAACCGAATGCGGTGACGTTTTTCGGGCGTAACGCCCACTCAGGCTCAGTCGGCCTCACGTTTCAGTAGTGGGAGTGCAGAGCTTGCGAATCCGACCTCTCCTTTGTGGCAGTTTACGGTTCTGGTGTTCGTACACATTCTTGCATCTGCATTTGACATACTGCTGCTGCACGAAGTGTCTTACCGCCAAAAAGGAGAGGATCGAATCGCAGTGTTGATACACATGATGTGAATATGTTTATATATGATTGATAGAAATTTGTGGGAGTATACTTTGCGGCTAGATGGAAATGTAGAACTTTCATTTACGATGATCGGTCCGTGTCCATCCGAATCGATATTGTCCTTTTGTCATTTACGATGATCGGTCCGTGTCCATCCGAATCGATATTGTCCTTTTTCATTTACGATGATCGGTCCGTGTCCATCCGAATCGACATTGTCCGTTTTCATGTACGATGATCGGTCATGAAAACAACTGAAGTGATGAAGTAGGTCAGTCGGTATACGCACGACGTAGGCCCGACGTAGGCAGCAGCCGCTGCCAGTGGGGCTCTGTCCTTGCGAGGTCATGGCTGGGGTTCGCGAGTTGGAATGCAAGGTCCTGGTACAGAAGGCTGAGTTCTTTGCTAGAAAGATTGCTGAGCACATTATGTCAGACGGTGTGCATGCACTTGACAGTGTCCGCATCGATTGCACCGTCAAGTTGCTTGAGCTTCTCAAAACCCAAGCTGGAGTACCCAGCTTGCAAGAAGAGTTCAAGCAGTGGATGCAGAAGACTGCCAAAGCCAGGGGTCAAGAGCAGCTCCTGAAGCTGCTGCAGTCGGCCAGTCGTGCAGAAGGCGTCCAGGTTGAGCAGATCAAATCTCTCCTTCCAGCAGAGGGCCAGGTGCTCTGCGGGCAGGGCGGGGCCGAAATGCTCGCAGCTGCCGTGCACTGTGTGCACAAAACGGCGCTCTTCATTGTTGACAAGGCCAGGTCGTGTTTCCTGAGATGGTTCTTCACTGTAGCGCTTTCGCTAATAACATAAAGCCGTACAGTGTCAAACAGAAGGGGCTGTATCTAACCTCAGGACCTAAAGCTAGGCTTGAAGCCCGACACCTGAGAAAACCCATATGCTCTGTCTCTCCTCGTCTCCCTGTTGCACTCCTTTTCCTCTCGTGTGTCTCCTTGTTCTGTTTTCATGTTTGTCTTTCTATCTCTATCTGACTCTACCTCTACCTCCACCTCTATCTCGCTCTACCGCCCCCTCCCTCCCTCCCTCCCTCCTCTCTTGACTCTACTGTCTCACTATCTCTTTTCTACATGTAATCTCTTGTGGTTGCCATGTTTCATTACTTTCAGTCTATCGGCTCCCCCTCTCTCTCTCTCTCTCCATCTTCCTCTTTGCCTCTCTTTGTTTGCTTGGTTGCCTCTGTCTCCAATTGTCCATACTATTGGTACTGCATCTCTGCGCATATGTGCAGTTTTCAAATCGAAAGCACATTGCTTTGATTCATGTCTTCTGCGACATTCATGAGTTGCACGTCCTTCTCACAAACATTGCTGAAGCAATTCCCCAATCAAGCAAGCTGCTTTGCTCCTGACCGTGATATTTTGACAGGCTCTGGCACCTTATGAGGGCAATGACCGAACTGTTGCAGATGTGCGAAAGGAGCTCTTGTTGATTCTTGGAATCTCTAAGCGTCTGTTCGTGAAGGATGCAGGTGCGCATGTGGCCGGATTGAACAAGCTTGCAAACGAGTATGCCTTGTACCTTCAGTCCGGTGTGCTCTTCATCGAGAAGACTCGGGTCTTCGAGAGCAAGGGTCCAGATGCTCAGACCAGAATGAGCCACGCTGCCAGTGGAGACTGGCTTCTCGCTTTGAAGAACCTGATGAAGAAGATCGATGCCCACATGCAGGAGATCAAGCAGGCTCAACTTGCATTCCAGAGTTGGGGACCTCCAGGAGCTCTTCGGCAGCGGGTTTGAAGCGGTGACATGCATGACGGACATGTTTGTCGAGGAAGTTTTCGGCAGCAGGAATTGCAGTCTCTTTGAGGATGCAGTTTCAATTCTTTCGGCAAAGCTGCAGACAGACCTGACGTTCGCGGCTGGGGAGCTCATGAAGTCGTGCAAGAACCAGCAAGGAGGTGGTGCTGCAGACTGGAAGAAGGCCTTGAGCTGCGACTCCCCGCTGGACGAGGCTACCGGCTAGCGACTATGAACCAAGTCTAGGTGAGTATGAGTAAACTGGCACAGACTAGAACTTTCTAGATTCTAGATTTCAGCCCTAGGCCACAGACAACTTTGAATGTTGTGTTGCAGGAGTTTATGCAGCCAGAAGCCAAGTCTAAGACTTCTGGACTGCTCCAGGTGTTGGGCGCTGCAGCAAGTATTGCTAGCTACCATTGATGGCGTCAAGCTTCGGGCAGCAGCAGAGAAGTGTGAGACTGTGCCTTGCTTTTGTTGATTTTGGATTGCGATGGCTTCCTGCCTTAGTAATAGTTTGGCGCATGGTGCAGTGTTGCTTGCAATTCGCTGAGATTCACTATTCAGGCTGTGTTTGGGCACTGTTGTTTCTGCTGTGCCATCATGCATCGAGGGCTTTGACTTTGGCTGGCTTGTAGGTTCTAGACTCTAGACTCAAATGACTTCTTTCTGCCCAGGTAGCCAGGCCTCGAGGCAGAAGCAAACATGGTTTCTTCTTTGGGGGTTTGCGGTTGCGAGATCATTTCGAGTTGCGAGATTCGGACATGTCTAACAAGATGAAAATGAAGACTCGTGCAGCTTCGTGCCATGGTGCTGACTGGCAGCACATAGACGTAGACATTGAAACGAAGATTCGTGATAAACCCTGATGACCACTGGTGCTGTAGTGTTGGCACTCTTGATCCACTTTGCCGCGCAGTAATTAATTCTAGATTGTAGATGTTGACCAGGATCGGGGTAAAGGCTTGCTGCTGTCGGCCAACACTTGTGTTTTCCGACTGACGGTCTCCAACTCTCGTTAGCGCATAATTTCACATAGATGTCGAACATGATTGGGGTCAAGTTTTGCGACAGGTGTGCTTTGGCGCTGCCAATGCGACAGTTACCGCAGTGCGTACATTTCGAATAGGATCTAAACAAACACTTGTGCTTGTTGATGGCGGTTTCGACATAGCTTGGTAGATTCCGACAGCAGAGCCCAGGTCTTGAAAAGCATGCAAAACCACCTTGACGTCTTTGGGAACGGCAGCAACGAGACCACTATGAAGGCCATGATCAGCTGCAGGGATGAGCTGCTGCAGGATGGCGTGACCCATGCAAAAGCTCTCATCACAGAGCTCATGCTCTGTAACCAGCTCCTGAAAATCAAGGACCTTGAGACCACGGATCCCAACGGCCCACAGCTAAAGCCTGCACGTGAGGATCTGTTGAAGCTCACAACGAAAATGTCAGTCTTGTTCCAAGGCAACTGCTTTAATGTCACTTCGAATGAAGTGCAGCCGAAACTTTGGCAGGCGGCGCAAAAATATGCTGCCTGAGTTTTGCCAGTTTGTGTTCCAGTGGCTGTCGTTTTTCGGTCATCTCGCAATTGCCAAAAAGACGAATGTAACGGGTATCACTAGTGTAGTGTAGTGTAGGCCCAGTTAAGTTTAAGTTTCGGGGCATACTGTCTTCCATAGGCCAACATATGCCTAGGGCCCAGGCCTGTGAGTGTTCTGTGAAGTTTGGTGTGTCGCAACTGCGAGGCCCTCGGAAAACACGACTCAGCAAAGATTCAAGCCGCTTGTGAACTTCATCAAGTATGCACTCCAAAAGTCCCTGAGGCCTGAGGCGAGGTGTCGCAGTGCGGCTTTCTTCAGGTGTTTCAGCTCCTGCCTTCCTGTGGTTCGTCACGGTCAGTCCTCTTAGTACTATATAGTGTGTGGCATGTACTAGCCGGTGCCCAGTAACAGTTAGCAAGCCCCCTGAGTATATGTAATAGTTTATGAGTTTATGGTAGCTGCTAGGTGCCGGCCAGCCTGTAGCGGCTACCCTACCCGTCAACCCCCAGACTGCTGGACTGTAATCGAATCGACTCATGTAGGCAGTAAGGCAGTAAGGCGGTTTCTGATTATCCTTTATGGCATATCTTAGCTGTCTTAGCTAGGCGTAGAATAGGGTCTTCGTCAAGGTTTGTTGCGGAGCTGCACATCTGATGCAAATGCGCAATGTTGCGGCTTTTCCCCGGTCAGGACTCAAGACTTCCGTTAAATTCATTGCGCAGCAGGCTCTACTCTACAGGCTTGCTTGGACATCTTGTGAAGGATATGGCATCCCATCAGGGCGCCGCAGTGCTATGTTTTGCACATGTTTCAGCTCCCAATTTGCTGCAAAGCATCATCACCTGGTGCTTTCCAATGGTGCCCGTGCAAATCTTTCAACGAGTACCGCTAGTCAAGAGCCGGGTAGAGACTACAGAGGCTGCAGTAGTATCTACTGTAGTCGAAGTTGGCTTCTTTACGGCTAGTCCTTCCATATCGTATGTTGTAGTTTTCAGGTGCTGGGTCCTGCAAGGTATAGGTCTGCTAGGTCCGATAGGTCCTATAGGTTACAGAAAGTTTGTTCTGGAGCTGAGCATCTGATGCAAACAAGCCATTTTGCCCCTGTTGGCACGTCTGCCTGCGTGCACGCCATCTCGGATCCGTCAGAAAGAAATCGAGCAGCCTGCACTCAGTGCCGAGTCCAGAGTCCAGACATTGCTTCAGCAAGCAGTGATCAATGTTTTCGTAGTTTGATTACTTCTTCGACGTGGTTCCTGCATCATGCTTTGACATGGAAGCTGTAAGCCCTCTAAGCACTGTAACTGGAAGTGTTTTCCTGCAAGGTGTTGTGGCACCGTGCAGGGAGGCCGCCTTGAAGGCCTTTGAGCCTTTGAAGGCACGGGAGGATGATCTGCAGGACAGTGGCCAAGCATTCCTTGTTGTGTGGCTCTGGGCTTGGGTGTGTGTTTCCTAATCTGTTGGCCTGGAGCTTGATTGTTGAAATCGGGTTGAAGTCCGAAGTGCAGATGGGACGGCTGCACTGTTCGACGTGTACGGTTCTCCCATGTATGATTTCCATGCCTTTGGTGATCCCTCTGGCTCTGGGCTTTGGTGTTGAAATGTTGCCACTTGTGGTCATAGTCCTACCCGTACCCGCCGTACCCGTGCCCGGACCCCGTAGATTCCGCAGATGTCGTAGCTGCACCTACTCGTCGCGTGAAATCATTATACAATGGCCGACAAATAATTACTGAAGATCACTGATGAGACTGGATCTGATTTGCTGCTGCCACCTCTTGGGCCCACATCCGGGTCCATCCCCAAAGTCCCCACAGTGTAGTGGCGCTTAAAATTGTCATGAAAGCTTTGCCCATGCCCTGCCGAATGACGGAAAGCTACAGTTTACCAGTTACAGTGAAGGCAAGGCCAAGGCCAGACAGCCAGGCCAGGCAAAGTCCAGGTCCAGCTTGCTTGTTGGAAGCATTCAAGTCAGTTCTGTGGCAGTGCATCTATGGCATAGTTATGGGTTTAGGCCATTATTCTCTTCGTCCAGATTGCCAGTTCCTGTGAGATCTTGCGAGTTTTGCAGTGCGCAGGGAATAGTCCGGGAATAGGGCCGTGTAGCAGTGTAGCTGTGGCACTGTAGCTTGTTTGCCTGCTCTCGTCATGGTCTATGACCCTACCCTACCTGGGCCCTACCTGACCCGATCTTGGACTTCTTGATAATGTAGCTGTAAGCTGTAGCTGTAGCGTGGACAGTGGACGCTCGTGACACAGGATCGTGATGACGTGATGTTTCCTGAGCGGCTTCTGATGCGAGAGCCACTCGACTTAGTCGCTGGTCGCTAAGCCGCCATTGAGCACTCGGCCCTAAGGCCCTAAGGCCTTAAGTCTTAAGTCACTAAGTCACTAGGCCGGGCAAACAGGACTCGGACACAGTGCAGAATATTATGTGTTTAGATAGGTTGTTTTTAAGTAATTGCATTGTGATTGGGGCGTTTTTGTAGGCTGGGTAGGGTTGGCCCGGCTGAACAACATCTAGAATGGAGAGTCTGGAGTCGAGTCTAGTCTGGGCTCTCGCAGGACGTAGCAGTGGACGCAGGAAGATAATTCAGTGGTTCACTAAACTAGCCTGCACCGGAAGCTGTGCTGCTTGATGCAGTCAAGCTGCACAGCTTCCGGTGCAGGCTTTTTCAGTGACCTCATCGGCGGCAAGCCGCAAACCGCCGAGTGAGGAAAGGCCGGCAGCCGGTGTGCTCTGTGGTTATATAGTTAGTTGTAGATTGGAGATACCTTTACTTACTTCTGCGCTGCACTGCACCTGAGAAGAGTTGATGACCAGCCGGTTGCGCAGCCGAGACCTTATGCCTTATGCCTCAGCTGAGAGTGGATTGGATTGCGGGTAAGCTGCCAACCGCATTGCGCGAAAACCAGCAGCAGTACCAGTGGCCTGACCTCATTAACTGTTAACTGTTAACTGTTAACCTCACGCGAACGATGTAGGTCGTGTAGGTCAATGTAGGTACGTTTGAAGTCGTTTTGGTTTGGCTGGCATAGCTGGTAATTTCTTTTACTGTTATTGGTTTTGTTGTTTTGTTTTGTATTTGGAAACGAAACTTCGATCATTTGATATGGGGCTGGATTTGGTTTGGCTTCGCCTCGCTGCAAGACAGAGCCTGGACTCCTGGACGTTTGCCCCGCAATCCTTGAACGAAATAACAATAATAAAGCGACTGTGCCGACTCCAGACTCCAGACGCCGGCCGTCTTTGTATCTTCTTTGATCCCACAATATACGTTGACACCCTAACAGCCCCAACAAGTCGCACCCATTTGGCTTGTGTCAGTGGACAACATGCACAAACGGCAGGACAAAACCAGCAACAACTTGCATGCCTATGTTGTGAATCTTCTGTGGTCTCACAACGTATTCACAAGTCGCAAGCCAAGGAGGATATGAACTACGAGCAATTTTCCGTGTGTTCTGTGATTTCACCACATAGACATAGACATAGACATAGACAAGGCAAGGACTCCTTGACATTGTCACAACACACACACACAGATGCAGTCAATTGCGCAAGAACATCACAAACCGTGTGTGTCATTTGGATGCGTTTACGGTTTACACCCCACAACACAGCCAAACTATACCCTCTACTTTCAATAAATAAATGGTGGCCACAACAGCAGACTGCAACGCCTCGTGCCCTCTTGCGTGGTCCCAGCCTCCAAAAGTCCAACAATTATGAGAAACCCACTTTCGAGACTGCAAATCAAACATAATTCATAGTAAAGCAACATGAGTGGGATTGGACCGACCAAATCAGCCGGCACTGATTGTGGAGGGCCAAACCGGGTGCTGGTTCGAAGGAATTGGGGTGCTCACAGAACTGTTCAATCCACAAAGCAACGAAAAAGGGCCAGGGTATCAGAAGCAGACGAGAAGCAAATCTCGCAATCACGCAAGAAAACATGACGGGTTGAAAACAGCAACAGAACACCAGCGGAGCACATCTGCAAAAAAGCATGCAAAAAAATGCAAAAAATATGCAAAACAGATACAAAAATATGCAAACCAAAAAAACAAGCAAAAACATATGCAAAAACAAGCAAAAATATGCAAAAAAAATCAATAAATTTGCAAAGGATTTGCAACACAAAAAAAACATGCAAAATATATGCAAACCCAACGTGCAATAAATATGCAACCAATTTGCAAAATATCCGCAAAATAATTATTTTCAGTTTCATAGGCTGTAGCCTGCTAATAATCTCATAAGTTTAAGCTGTGGGAACAAAGCCGCCAGGAAGGCTGGGTGCTGGGTTTCATCATTGAGTTGCCCGAAACTGACCGTTTGGGTTCCCCAAAAGGATTGTCTCGTGGTTTGAGCCGGGAGGGTGGGCCGGGGGAAAAGTGAAAAACTTTGCGTCAGGCTTCGCGCCGCTTGGAAAGTACTTTGGTAATTTCGTAGATTGCAATGCCATGAGTTCCTCTTGCTTGTTTGCACTAACTGCGTTTTGCTTGAGCTCAGATCAACTGTACGAATGTCGTTGCCACTTTGGCACGAGGACAAATTTTGTGTGTGAGGGGCGGGTAGACCTGCGGCTCGATAGGAATGGGCAGCGAGCTCAGCAGCAGTCGGCATGAAGAGACATGCCGATTGGTCGGCGCTGCATGGTCTTGATCCTGCATTGATTGCTGCTATCCGTGAGAGTTATTCGAGCATTGTGCATTTTGATGGGGCTTTTGATGATGAGGGAGAAGCAGCAAATACAGTGGAAGAGCTCCTTGGGGATAAGAAGCCAGCTGAAGAAATCAACAAGTTGGCAAGCAGCTTGTGGAACTGGAAGGAAAAGCGGTTGCATCGTGGGCCATCAAGTGTTCGCATTTTGCAGGAGCACATCCGCGAGCTTCCGGTGAAGGTTCCAAGGAAGATGAGGGACATCACAGCGGTGTTTGAAGACGAGGTGCAGATGACTCCAGCTGTTGCGTTGTCGCAATTGAAGAGGGCTGTG